CACAGGCCCCAACCAGCAGGTGGGCGGCACCAGGCCAACCAAGGTGGTGCAATCAGGGGCCACCTAGATCACCCCACAAATCAGCCATGATCGCCAGCCAGGCCTAGGGACCCTAACTGTGCATGAATTTTGTGCACCAGGCCTCTAGTATTAATATAAATGACACTATTATATTTTAGGAAATCTGAAAATTCTCCGTATTTAAACTACTCTGAGCAAGGATTAAAATTAATATTAATAATCCTATTAACATCTTCTATCTTAGATCTTGATTCAATAAGCATATGAATCTTTGTTATTCAACAAGAAATATGCTGAGAATTTTCTTTTTTGTTTTTTAATATGCATTTTATTGATCTTTTTTTTTTTTTTTTTTTTTTTACAGAGAAGAAGTGAGAGGGATAGAGAGTTAGAAACATCGACCAGCTGCCTCCTGCACACCGCAGGTGCATGCCCTTTGACTGAAATCGGACCTGGGACCCTTTAGTTTGCAGGCTGATGCTCTATCCACTGAGCCAAACCGGTTAGGGCTATGCTGAGAATTTTCATAGGATGCCCGAGTTCAAAGCATTCCAACCTTTTTACATCAAGATGTTATTGTTACTATTTTATACTTGTAGAAATTGAGGTTCAGAGGCACTTCGTCCAACAATCTTAACCTGCCAAGTCCAATCTGATCCTTTATGCACAAACCACACTTCAAGGAATATTTAACAAGCCCCACCCAACTTTATTTACCTATAGAGAAACAATTTAAGACTGCTTAGTTTATAACCAAAAGACATAATAGTTCCATGCACTAATTTAGGATTCATTCAAAAGCTTATTATTTCTGCTCTGATAATGTCCCTTAGGCTCTTTCTGATACTGGCCTTCCACTTTTCAGAGACTACTACTCTTTACAGAGAATGAGCAACACTTATTATGGTTTATAGAACAGGATGCTTTAGAAAGTAGCTACTAATCTTTCACATTAATGTCATTATCTCTCTCTCTCTTCCACTCCCTCCCTCCATTCCATTCTCTCTAAAAAAATCAATGAAAAAAATATATTCAGGTGAGGATTAACAACAATAACAAAACAACAGTTGGTGTTTGGGGGTTATTTTTATAATCTATTATAAAAATCAAATACTGTCAATCAATGCATGATTTTCTTTCCTCATGTAGTTTATATACCTGTGGACCATCAATAGTAACCCTTTACTCTCAGCCCTAAAAAAAAAAAAAAATCAGGAAAGTAAATTTGCTACTGGAAAAGAAAACCCATAGGTTTCAAAATAAAATGACTTCTATATTTTCTTTTTATTGAATTATCTATAGCACTGTTCATCAGCCCTCCTTCATTAACTCTGATAATCAGAAGTTAACCCAATAGTGAAATTTCTTTTAACTATAGAGCCATGATTTACCCATATTACAAGAGGACAAATGGAGGAAACCACCACATACACACTCTCTCTTGTAAAGCAACTTCTAATACAAAAACATGACATGCAGAAATATTTTAATTTTGGAATAATGTCAAAGCCATTTCAACAAATGCTAAATGCAAACTGCTTTGCTGCAAAATAATTTACTAAATTCTGGCACACTATATTCTATAACCTAAAAACATACATATCTGCTTGTAAGCCATACTTGTAGAAACTAATGATATACTGTTAGAAATATCAAGCATGTCCTTGATACATAATGCAATAAGACTACTTGCTTACCACAACTACCAACGCAGACCAATGCAGATATACTTTATTAATGACCCATGAATTGGGTTGCCATCAGTGTTGTGATTCTCCAAACAATAAACAATTTTCAAAGTTCTGAATGAAAAGTGAAATCCTTTCTAGATAGTCACATATACTAAACACGGCATTAATGGTCTCAAATACTGGATTCCCTGTGCCCATGTTCTTTGGCAGGAAACTTGGTAGTCCCCTCCTATCCTAATGCTGGACTTGGCAGCATGACTTAAAAAGTTGTTTACAATTGTAATGCAAGCATATAAAATAGACTTAAGTTATACATGTAGATGATTGTTAACAGGTGTTTCCCATATAAAATGTCTGGAAGAACATGAAAAGCATGTGTAATGTAAGTTATTTCTGTTCAACACATTCTGAGCTACCCAATAACCATGGAATTTACCTGCTGAAGCCAGTAACACACCCAGGTGTGAAAACTCAACATGCTCCTCAGAACAATAAAACTCTCACTTAGGGGCAGAAGATCCAAGATTGCTTCCAAAGTCAATAAACTTTTAATCTTTTAACTTCAGAAGCACTCATCTTCATATATGAAGTCATTCACATACAAGATGCATGATAGTGCCTTTTTAATCCAAAATTGTATGTGATTTAAGTATGGTTCTTTACATAGCCAAAATATTTTGAAATAAGTCAAAATCTATATATTTTTCTGTATGCATGTTATCCTTAAGATTTAAAGGTTTAAGTATGAGAAAGTGATGATAAAGCACATGCAGTTGAAGTCTGTATTTTTATGAAGTTGTACCAACCATCCTGCACTTCATAATATTAGTCCTCACATTTTACACATATCTTAATTTTTTAAGAACACAGATATTGCTAATATTGTAAAGAATCAAGTATACCTACCCGAATATTTTGGTTCAAAGATGCCCTTAGGGACACAAGAAGGTATGCCTGTATTCCTTAACAAGCATTTAGAAGGTCAGTATGTTTTCTAACAGTAAGAACTATTACCAATTTCCCCTTTTCTTTGTGCACTGTTTGCTCTGCCTTCAATACCTCCTGTCAGCCTAAGACCTAGTCTCTCTCAAAAACCTGCAAAAGTGTCATGTTCTTTGTGAGAGCTTCCCAACACCCTCCTTGTCACCATATAACTTCTGAAATTCTTATTCATCTTAATTATCTAACGCCATGTTATAAGTTACATATCTGTCTTCTTCAATACAATTAATTGTAGTGTGATGTCAGCTAAACTGATGCACACAGATCTGTAACAGCATCCACAGTACTGAGCTCAGTGACTGTCATAGAGAGGATTCCAAATGCCCTATAAATATGACTGTCTATTTAGAATTTAAGAGTCATGAACCCATTCCAGTCATCTCTCATATTTATATTTTGTTTCTACCTTTTGACATAATGGATTGACTAAAATCAACCAGTGCCTTTCACATTTTCTAAATTCATTTTGACATTACAGTCTTAAAAAATGTTCCCTCAGAAATCCTTGCTATATGCGATACATGGACGAATCTTGAGGACTTTTTGCTAAAATGAAATAAGTCAGTCACAGAAGGACAAATACTGTATGACTCCACTTATATGAAATCTAAAATAGTCAAACTCATAGAAGCAGAGAGCAGAGCAGTGGTTGCCAAGGGCTGGGAGGGGGAATGGGGAAGTGTGTTCAATGGGTATGAAGTTCAGTCAGTAAGATGAGTAAGTGTTAGAGATCTGCTGTAGCACTGTGTCTACAGTCAGTAACAGTGTATTGTACACTTTAAAAATGTTTAAGAGAGATCTCACGTTAAGTGTCATTACCATAACTTTCTTTTTGAGAAATCTTAATATTTTGGCACCAATCTCCACTTAAACTTATCAACTAACAAGTTTGGATATTTTTACTTATTTCCCCAGTGAATTGTTTGTTACCTTTCCGGTTCTGTTACAGTCATTAGACTTTTAATCTAAAAATACAATAATATACTTTTATTTCTGATTTCATTATGATGTTCAAAATTTTGCATAATAGGTCAACATTCTAAGAAAGTAATTTAAAATTTTCATTTCTGGGCTAATTCTAAAATTTGTACAAATAGTCCAAATTGTATTTTAACCTGTAAATATATTATTCTATACTAAACTGTCATTACAAACTTTCTGTACTTTCTTCTAGCTTTAGATTTTCCTATAATGTACCTGGAACTTGATTACTCAAAATATGTTAACCTGGAACTTGATTACTCAAAATATGTTATCAGTAAAATTTGGAGACTGAAAAGTGCTCACTTCTACAAATCCATGTATTTAAAAATATTTCATATAATCTTGAATTTACACTTCTTCACTATTTTAGAACCAAAAACACATGTGTATCACAAGTAGACAAGCAATTTTAACATATTATCATCAAGTGTTTGGAAGACAGAGTACAAAATGCTTGCATACATCTTCTGACAGTGAAATAGACAATTGAAACTAACAAAATCTTAACACTTAACTTTTCTTGTATCAAAAAAATACAACCAGAACACAACAAAACTACTCTTTACTTTATCGGAAATATAAGAGTTGCCCATAAAAGTGTGATGGCTATTAATTAATTAGGTGACTGGCTCATCCTTACTCCAGGTTATAAAATATGCCCACTTTCTTTGTGATTTTTTTGTAATATTGTAGTTTTAAAAAAATATTACATCACCAACTTTTACTAATGCAAAATATGGAACTAGAAACAAAAAAGCAAACAAACAGAAGGGAATTACTGGAAGCCCAATAAAGCAGAGTGGAAGGACAACACTCCTCTACAAATATTTACACTATTGGTCTCCCAGGACACTATGCTGTGCCCTCAGAACTACCAGCCTCCTCCCTTCTAAGCACCAGCTCAATATATATAACATTTAACATCACATAAAATGTAGTATATAGGAAGGAGGGAACCTCAAGTTGAAGAATGCTTACAAAAGTTTATGATAACACCATAAAGTTCTTTTTTTTTTAATCTTTTAAAGCAAAGACTAACAGTTACTCCAATACTAGACATCTTCTAAAATGCCTTTTGTAGTCATCACTAATGAATTTTAAATATATGTATTTCACCTCAGGTTAAAGCAAAGTACTTAGATAGCAAACATTAATTCTAAATAAATTGAGAATATACTAAAATCCTAAATATAAAATACAAAAATAACTTTTTTTGACAGTGAAATTCACCATTCTAAACAACTTATTAAATCTTATTAAAATGGCTGCCAACAAAAAAGTTGAAATTGTAAAAACACTTACTTCATTTCCATGTTTTTGTAGGAATTCAATTTCCTGTTGTGTGAATGTTGTCATGGAGATAGATTTCACCCTGTGTGGTGGATTTAACCCTCGCCTAAGAGAGAAAATATTTTACACATTTACTATTATATACTATAATTTTAAAATTACACATCAATGCAAAACATACTTAGCTAGCACATTTAAACTGGGAACAATGGTTTTATTTCATAAACTAAAGTTATCTTTAAAAATTATTTTAAACTATTAATCTCCACAACAGACATGTCAAGCTAAGTTTTGCTAGACCCACACTAAATAATATACTTAGAGATAAATTCAGTGACTACCTAGTTAGAAACACAAAGTACCTAAAACACATGACTTCTAGGAAACACAAACAAACAGTGCTTTAGTGTGTTTTGATGAAGGGAGAAGATAGTATTTGTGGGAGAGCCCTATGGTAAAGAATTTTAAGAGTAATTGATTATTTAAATATTTTCATTTTTTAAAGAAAATATGATAATGTGTTATGTATGGAGCTCCACAAATACTCTAATCACATAGCTATATCTTTAAATGTGAGGCTAATTTTGAAAACTAAACTAACCTAAGGAAGCAAAGTTATTAACTAAAAGAATAAAGTTCTATCTCTTCATCAATTCAAGTGAGGTTTGATAATAAGGGACATTATTAATCACCTAATGAGGCAGTAAGTGTTCAAGAGAAAACAGTAGGGCCCTGAAGAAGGGAATCAAAAAAAAAAAAATAGGTAGATACATGATTAAATGATTTTTAAGATCTTTTACAATCTTGATCTTTTCTGTACAGCCGGCCTTAATAAGATATTTCTTGAGTTTCTTGATGTTTTATCACACACATAAAAAAGTGAACAGAAATGTGCTCAGAGAGAATAAGATTTACATTTTGTCCAAATATCACAAAGTGGCTAATCCATCCAGAAGAATAAGGGTCAAATAATCTCTGCAAACTAACAAAGTAATTTATACAAAGTTTCATAAAATTACTTTGGCAGTCATGTCCTCTGGTAAAGGGTCATTTGGAATCCAGACTGTAGAGCAGATTATCAATATTCTTACAGAATAGTCATCTTGAAATTGTCCATGAAATTTAACAATGCTGTAAAATTATGGACCAAAAATATTCTGGAAACACTTTTGAGTAATTATATATGGTATGTAAAGTTATTTTAAATCAAAACAACAAGGAGAATTCATACGTAACAGAGCCCCTCAACCTTCATATCCTGCTCCTTCTTTCTCTGCCTCTAACTTTCAGATATAGATGGCACACTCTATTACACTTTTTATCTGCTCCACATTTCAGTAGAGAATTCTGTGTTGAGTTAGATTTGGTTTAAATTTTAAAACAAATTATTTTCCTTCTAGCTCTTGATAAGTCATACAACAGAAATGGAGATTGCATAGCAGAAGAAACTGATCACAAATTTCATCCTAGTAAAACTTTCAACCTTAACTATAAAGAAACAACTACAATATGAATTAATTTGAAGTATCTTTACAATTTTCAATAATAAATTAAAGCTTTAAAGATAAATTTCCATGTGAAAATTTACAAAATTATTCTTCATTTAAAGCATGATACTGTTTTCCACCTCATCCTCATCATGAGAACTAAACTAAATTCACCATTTTTAGGGACACTTGTTCATCTATGATATGTATTTACACCTACCTAGCTCGGAAACAATGGAAGAACTTATTATTGTTCTCTCAAATCCCACTACTCCCTCCATCCTCACGTAGCCACTTGTCTTTCCTTGTTCCCTAATTCCTCCTTCCTTTTTCCAGTAAACCCTTTGCCATTCCACTCCCCTTAAAGTAGCTTTTTTTAAAAGAGAAGGCAAATGAATGACCTTTTAATGAAAATATGTCAAACAATGTTATAAGGGTTTATATTTTGGAGAGAAATCTTAGAGCAAAGAATAATACCCCTATGTACTTCTAAAAATGTCAGATGAGGAAATCTTTTATTCTTTTTAAGTTATTTATACAGCTGTGATAGCATCAAACCAGTACAATGTATATAGCTTATTCACTCATGTATCTCGAGTCCCTACCATATCACAAAGGTCTATTTATGCTTAAAGAAGGTATTCATTACTGCTCTGGCTGGGTTGCTCACTGGTTGGAGCGTGTCCCCTACAGCAAAAGGTTACAGGTCTGATTCACAGTCAGGGCACATACGTAGATTGCAGGTTCAATCCCTGGTCAGAGTGATGTTTCTCCCCTTTCCCCCCCTCCCCCATTCCTTTCTCTAAAAATCAATAAATATATTCTCAGGGGAGGTTTAAAAAAAATCTGTGATCACCCAAAAATCTGTATATAAATATTTGTACCAGTGTATTCATATATATTAAAAAATGGAAACAACTCAATTGTTCCTCAAATGGGAAATACACAAGCAATAGACTACTACTCAGCAATAAGGAGAAATGAAAATTATTGGAATCCATTAATAACTAACCTGGATTAATCTTAAAGGTACTATGGACCTATTGAGTATTATGCTAAGCAAAATAAGACTATTAGAGAATGACAAATAGGATCTCATTAATATGTGGAATCTAATGAACAAAATACCTTGGCAAACAAAATGGAATCAGAGTATGGATACATGGAACAGAATGGCTGAGGCCTGAAGGGGGGAGGGATTATTAGTTGGGGTTGTGACTGAATAAAGAAGGTGTAGGGATTCACTAAAGAATATATATACGTATCCCATGGACAGGGACAACAGTGTAGTGAAGGCCAAGGGAGGGGGAGGTGAGGGTGGGTGGAGGTACAAGTAGACAAAGAGGGGAGAGGGGGACATCTGCAATAATGTCAGCTTTAAAATTAAAGGTACTATGCTAAGTGAAAAAGGCAATGTGAAATCATACAGGCTATATATACTGGATGATTCCATTTGCATGACATTCTCCGCAAGAAAAACTACAGTGCTGGAGAACAGATCAGTAATTGCCAGGGACAGAGGAAAGACAAAATTTAAGACAATCCTTGGGGGATGATGGAACATTGCCATGTTCTGACCATGGTAGTAGTTACATAAACCTATACCCATTTGTTAAAACTCATAGAACTAAAAAACAACAAAAAAGTTAACTTTACTGTATGGTAACTTAAAAAATAAAACACTGTAGTCCTAATTCCATATTAGTATCTATAGTGACCAAAATTTTTAGAGTAACTAAAATATTTTTTTCTCATTAACAGAACATCTCCACCTACAAGATATCATTAATGAACAAAATCTTTAACTGATCAAAAATTAATTTTTATTTATCTAATTATTTTTAAGGTGTATTCCTGGAAGCTAATGCTACTTTCCTTTTTCTCTAACCTTGTCTAGCTATCATGTGAATTCAGTGCTTTTAAAACATTTTACTGTAATGACATTAGTCATGACCACTGAGTAAGTGTTGAGCAAGTATACCACATCATTTTTACAGTGCCACTATTGAGGTAACACCCATTCTGAATCCTAAAAAAACACATTTTAAGTCTCCAGTTTAATTTAAATAATGACTCATTTAATAACAGCAGTATTGATATTTTGAAAGATACTTGCCAGTTAATTGGTTTCAAGACCTTCCAAACTCACCTACTGGCGGGTTCCAATATGTTTTTACAGTATAATTAAGTCATATGCAGATCCCCAAGAGTTGGGAGTTTAAATGACCACCACCCAGGTATCACTGCAACCAGATGGTGTGACTCATTCCATATGTCCATCAGTATGCTGCTCTTAACTATGCTTCAAACAATCTTGCTAATACCCATTTGTTCATCTCAAATAACAATGTGTGCTGTATCAATAAGTAAGAAAGCTTATTTAGTTAGTTATTGTTTTTCCCCTGCTGAGGGAGAAGCTGGTAAAATACTGCCAATAGACTATGGAAATTTATGGGGTTGCTATTGTTGGCATAGGGTAATAAAGTTAACTTGACATTTAAATCTATTCCAATACTACCGTGTTTCCCCGAAAATAAGATATCCTCCGAAAATAAGACCTAGTGCATGGAAAGATAAGACATCCCCTTAAAATAAGACCTAGCACAACTTTGGGAGAAAAAATTAATTTAAGACACTGTCTTATTTTTGGGGAAACAGGGTAGTTATTTAATATCATCCAGAACCCAACTTTAAAACACTGAAAATACATAAACACACACACACACACACACACACACACACACACAGCGTAAAACACAGTTGTTATTGTTTTCAGAAAATCACAAATATTACACTGTAACGTACTTTTAAAACTTTAGCAAGCATCTAGAAAATAATACTCAAGTAACAACTTAATTAAGATATTCCAGTAAAGAGTAGACAAAACTCAAGAATGTCTTTACTATCTCTCTAAACCCCTCTGAAATAACAACAAAGGCACAAAAAGCGTTAACCGAGAAAGAGACATTGGGAAAGAGAACATGGGAGGAGCCCCAAAGCACACTATTGCTCTTGAATAACAAAATTTGGAAGATAAAATGTTAGTATACCAGCAGTAACTGACTACAGAGTAAACTAAAAATGGAAGCTCCTGCAGAGGTGAGAGAAGCCAGCTAGAAGTTGATTCCCACCACAGAACCCTTGAAAGATTACCAAATGAATCAGACAAAGGTTGGGGGGTTTGGAGGGTCAAAAATAGAAACAGACAACAGTCTAACATCACTTTCTGTAGTAATTAAGAAATGGAAGAAGGTAATAGATGTCTATTGTTATTCATTATAAGCCTTCCTAATTTTAAATTAAATAAATGTATTCTTTTGATAGAAATAAAAATTGAATTAAAAATTAAACAAAAAAGAATGAAAAATAAACAGTTCTTGTCAATATTAAATTTAACATATACTTATAGGGTGTTCTCTTTAACTGATAAAAAAAAAAAAAAAAAAAAAAGGCATTCCTAGAAAACTTGAGTGACATTTTACATTTCCCCAAAATATCAAGTTTCTTCACTATATATTAGCACTCTTGTAGAAATACATACCTACTGAACACAACTGTTCTAAGTTAGTGTTCCAAATTAGAGCCACCAAGATTTATTGAATAAGAGATAAAGATTTAA